TGGGAGTTCCATTTTTAACTTTTTGAGGAAACTCCATACTGTCTTCCATAGTGGCTGCACCAGTCTGCATTCCCACCAGCAGTACATGAGTGTTCCCTTTTCTCCGCATCCTGTCCAGTACTTGTCATTTGTTGATTTGTTGATGATAGCCATTCTGACAGGTATGAGATGATACCTCATTGTTGTTTGATTAATTTTAAATTTGGATATGGTTTCAAACATACAGAAAGTTTGCAATTACTGTAGTTGTGAGTACATGAAACAGTGAATAAGGTACAGATATCATGCTTCTTGAGTTGAAGTGCTCTTGTGTGCATTTTCTAAGAATAAGGATATTGTCCTGTATAACCATAATATAATTATGGAAAATAAGACATTATTAACAAAATATTGTTATGTAACTTAAAGTGCATCTAGGATCACACATGCATTTGGTTGTCCTGTCTTTTAAACTTCCTTTAACCTGGAGCAGTTCCTCAGTTTTAAATGACTTTGAATTTGAAGAGGTCATGCCACATATTTTCAGACTTTCCTCAGTAGGTTCAGGCCAGATAATATTCACATTCCTCAATTTGGTTTTGCTTGCTATTTCCTAATGATAATTCAGGTTATGCATTTTTGGCAGATACACCATGGAAGTGATGTTGTGTCCTTCTCAGGAGTAGCATACTTGAAGCACATCATGTATATTTGTCCTGTTGATGATGTTGGCTTTGGTCATTTAGTGAGGTGGTCTATGCCAAGTTTCTCCATTGAATGTTTCTACTTTTCTTTTTTGTAATTAGTAAGTGATTTGTGGAAAGACACTTTAAGATTATGGAAATATCTTGTTGATCATGCTTTCACCCACAAGTGCTGATTCACAGGTGTTTTCTTGACTGAATCAAGTTAACTATAATGTTTGCCTAATGGTGATGTTCTAACTCTTATCAGCACATCTATATTATAAGTGGTATGCTATGCAAAAGAAGAATTTTCAATTCCTTATACACTTTATTTTTATTTATATTTTATTGCCTATCATGAATTTTAATTCTTTATGGTTATTAATTATTTTGATTTCCCAATTATCCAAGATTTCACTGCTGAGAGCTTTTGAAGTTACAGCCTATGTCCTTTGGACATATCCCCATCATTTTTAAATGCCAGAGAAAATGTTGCCACCTTGGACTCCATATTTTTATGTCTCCTTCCTATGTCTGTTATGCCAGGATAGCTTTTCAGTATTTTAATAGTGTCAGTGGACTTTCTGAGAGTAAGTTTTGTGTTGGTATTAGAACATTTGTTTTCCTCTTTTTTCTTCCTCATAGATTTTTCTGTACCCCTTAGATCTCTGCAATACATAGTGGAGCTGGAAAGATATCTCTGTTAGAAATTGCTGTTTAATTTTTTGTTTACAAGTAATTTAACATTTTTATTATTCTCAAACTTCCAGTTATGCTAAAGATCTAGGATTTGTGTGGGGGTTTTTATTTGTTTATTTTGATTTGTTGACTGTATATATTTTGCTCAATTTGTGAAATGTTTAATACATTCCTGCTGTTAATACTACCCAGAACTCTAGCTCCATATTTTTAAAGCATTCTACAAAATATTGTTATTTCAAGTTATTTAAAACATGCCACGATGTAATCAGAAAGTGTGGATTGAATAGCCTTACCTTTTGTGGTCAGTGTTAATCCAGTTTATTTAGTTAAATTGAAGGGTTTTTTTTCTCTATTATTTTTTATCAAATGGCATATTTGTCAATCCAGGAAGTCTCTAAAAGATGTATGCATGGTAAAATCATTACTGGAGATAACTTCTTTGATTTGTACCAATCAATTGTGTTTGTAAATTTCTCCATTAGCTTTAAAAATGATCAAATGTATATTTAGACAAATGGACATTCAAACCCATGAAATTTAAAAAAATGTAATTAGATTAAAATAAGGTAACTAATCAATAACACCTGAGTATAAAAACCAGTGAAATGTAGTTTTAAGCAGTTGCTTCAACTAATGAAATAAGCATTATGAGCCTCATTGAGGATAGTCCTTCCTCCAGTTTCATAGTAAAGCGTTCCGATTGTAGTTGGTATGCAGGGATCAGGAACAAAACACTGATGTTTGAAAATGGAAAAGTAGAAGACAGCTTGCAAAAGTAGGAAATAGCTGAGAGCAGAAAGTGTGTCTCATCCAAGAGAGACAACAATTTCTATGTTCTCTGGAGGCTCAGGCTAACAAAATCTTTGCTCTTTCAAAAAGCTAAAAATGAGGATTCTTATGAAAAATATCCACTTTTGAATATTTAAAAAAATACTTTTGAATCCATGATGTGGAATAAACAAACCATGTCAATAAGCCAGATTTGGTTATTACACTCCACTTTGCAACTTCTACTCTGGATTCAATGGAAGGGCTAACAGGTGTTGTAGTGAGAAGTAATTGGGTCAGAAAAACTGATTCTGAGCCAGCGATGGCGAACCTTTTGAGCTCGGCGTGTCAGCATTTTGAAAAACCCCAACTTAACTCTGGTGCTGTGTCACATATAGAAATTTTTTGATATTTGCAACCATAGTAAAACAAAGACTTATATTTTTGATATTTATTTTATATATTTAAATGCCATTTAACTAAGAAAAATCAACCAAAAATATGAGTTCGCATGTCACCTCTGACACGCGTGTCATAGGTTTGCCATCACTGGAGGAGGAAGAATTGACCTAGGCAGGCATCCCCTGAGCTGTTTTACACTCAAAGAAGAAATTTATGCTTAGGACTGTGCTTATCATCATCATCTCTGTGTACTCCTCCACCCTCCCCCTCCCCGCACAGTACCAATATATAGAGGTAACTAGGGTAGAAGTTGATCAAAGGCTATACTCTGAATGTAAATGTTTGGCTCTAGTGAGAGACTGGCAGCAATGTAAGCTGATGAAACCTGGGGGAGAAAAGGTATGCAGGCCCTAGGATCATCTCTTACCAGTTGTGTCAAATTGGGAAAGTCACCTTAGTGTTAACTTTAGTTCTCTTGCCCACATGAATGAATATGCTAAAGTGTAAAGAAACATACAGATCTGCTAATAGTTGCTTTATAAGTTTATTGAAATTATATATGAGTATGAATTTGCTTTTTTATTAAGCTTTAAGTTTTAAACTTAGAAAAATAAAAATTTAAAAAGACATAGTTTCTTATGAATTTCTTGATTTACTTCTTTTCAAAATATGTTTTTATTGATTTTATAGCGAGGAAGGGTGAGGGACAGAGAAATAGAACAAGGGAAAGAGAATAGAAACATAGATGAGAATCATCTATTGGCTGTCTCCTGCATGCCCCCTACTGGGATTGAGCCCACAACCCAGGCATGTGCACTGACCAGGAATTGAACCAGGGACCTCTTGGTGTATGGACTGATGCTCAACTAACTAAGCCACACTAGCTGGGCTCTTGATTTATCTTTGATATTTAAATATAAATTTTCTAATTACATATATAGTTTTCTCTAGTTTGAGGGGTTCTGCGTGAACCAATAGTAAAATCATTCATTCCTATGCCAGGTAGAGACCTTTGCCATCCTGTGTTTTTTAATACTCCAGGAAGATAAATTAGACATCCAGCTCATTGTCTATTCTGTTTGGTGAACTGATTACACCTGGTTTTGGGGAACACAAAAGCACACCATCTGTATTAATAAACTGGTGTTTCCACTTAGTACTGTAAAGAACCACATCTCTCTGGGCAGAAATTCTGTTGGTTACTGAGAACTAATGTTACTCTAAAGGTGCTTGCTGCTTAGGGGAATTTTATTTGTATTGTCCATCGTGTGTTTGATCTGTCCAAAAAAACACATTGTACCTTAAAGGGTTATTTTAAATGTCATTAGGTTGTATATTATTTTGTTTCTTTTGAACAGTTCTTTTATAAAACATTATACCCCCCCCCAAAAATAAAATCCTATTTATGGTGAAATATATTGAGCTTTGAAATTAATGTGCTCATCCCAACATCCCTCCTTTAAAAAACACACAAATTAATTAATAAAATCTTTTAAAATAACTTTCTCCTTATAATTACGTTGACTTTCTGAAGAAAAGAAAATGGATGTTTGTGTATTTTTGTGAGGCATGCAAGTGGCATTCCTACTTTTTTCTCAGTGTGTGGTCCTCAATTAAAATTGACATGCAATTACAAAGTGAATTGGTGCAATTCTCTAGGTAAATCGAGCAAACTTCTCCATCAGTGATCTTAATACGTTAGACAAAGGTGCATTTTAAAAACTTAAATTATTTTAATAACCACATCAAATCTCCAATTACATTTAGCTACAGACATCTCATGATTTTGAGTTGCTTTAAGTTGTTCTGCCATGTCCTGGGGGCATTGTGCTTCTTCTGTATGATTCTGAATCCGTGTGCAGACTCTTGCCTCTTACCCAAGAGTGACCTCCTTGACTGATGTTTACAACAGTTGGGAATATTTCTGTTCATCAGCCTATTATGTTTTGTAAGATATATAATCTATATTTCACAAAATTTCATTTCAGTATGTTAAGTATGTAGTGTCTCAGTGTGTGTTGGTCTGGATTTGTATTTCTGTGTCCTTGGCAAATTGCTTACTCTTTTTTCTTTTCTTTTCACAGATGCATTTTGTAGGAGTATTTTGAGGATGAATGTTTGCAAATCATTTTGAAATTGCCAAGCGCCACATACAGTAAGTAATATGTATTTCTATTTTTTCACTCAATTGCAGTCATGCTGAATGAATTTGGCAGACTGTCATAAAAGAACACATTTCTATTTACAGTTCTTGATATTTGTGAATATTGAGAAAAACTATATAAAAGATAAAAACTTGAGCTGTTGGCTAGTTGGAATTAAGTTGTATAACTTTAAGATTTCTAATAGCTGAATTTTACTATTGTTCTATGTACATAATGCACACAATAATGTTTTTCACATATTGTTTAAAATTGCTTTCCTTTGAATTGTACATTGAGAAGAGTGAAGAAAAAAATTAGTATTATTTTAGCCAGTGTTATTAAGGAAGTTTTAAAGGAGTATTAAATATTAAGATTTGCTGAGTATTAGGATTTGCTAGTATTCCAATTTGCTCAATATCAGGCAATTTACACGTTGCACCTTTAATTCTTACCTAAATATTTTAAGTTTATTATTTTTATTTCTATTTTTTAAATAAGAAAACTGATACTCAAGAAGTTTTAATGCCTTGCTCAATATCTATTCAAAGTGATGAATCTGGGCATTGGACATAAGACTTTTCAAAAAATATGCCTTCGGTAGCAGAGAAAGTTAAATAACTTTTATTTAAGAGCCTGGATGTTTTTAAGCGTGCAAACATGTCCTGATTAGTTCTTTGGGTTTTTGTATTGCTTAAGCAATATCCTGAAAATGTTGCAGGTTTTTTGTTTTTTTCCCTGTTTGTCTATCATGTCATTGTTTTCATTTCAAATTATGCTTTCTAATCCTAACTTGAACTGCTTTGAACTAGAAGGAAATAAGTGAAATGCAACTTCCTCAAAGAAAGAGTATATAGATTAACTAAATTATTCTTTTACTAGAGGTCCAGTGCACGAAATACGTGCACTCAGGGTGTGGGGGTGGGGGTCCCTCAGCCAGGATTGCGAGGGGGCACAGGCCAGGCTGAGGGACCTCACTGATGCATGATTAGGGCCAGGGAGGGATGTGGGAAGTTGGCCAGTCAGGGAGGGACCATGGGAGGGCTCCAGGTCCTGTCTGGCTCATCTTGCTCAGTCCCGATTGTCTGGACGCCAGCAGCAAGCTAACCTACCAGTCAGAGCATCTGCCCCTGGTGGTCAATGCATGTCATAGTGAGCGGTTAAGCGGACTTAGCATATCATTAGCATATTACGCTTTGATTGGTTGAACGGACAACCGGATGACCGGATACTTAGCATATTCGGCTTTTATTATATAGGATAAAAAGTGTTTAGAATTAGAGTTTTGAAGTTCTTCAGGAGTCTTCTTTCATTCAGTAAATACAAGTACACAATTAAATGCTACCATTTTATTATTTTAGAACTGGAAGGGATCATATAATCATAGATTCCTGGCCTCCATTTGCTCAAATTCCTTGTTTGATGAAGTGGGATCATCTGTAGGAGAATTTTAAAATATAATTCTCAATAAAGGTAGAATAAATGATGGCAGCATTGATGCTTAGTCATTGTCTCCAAATGCAACTACTTTAAAAAAAGGCAGCATAGTATAGTGCAGTGGTTCTCAGCCTTGGCTGCACTGGGAATCCTTTTAAAATCCTGATTTCTGGGCTGATTCATCCTCCGGAAATTCTGTTTCTTTGTTACTAATGTTGTGGCCCCACCCCATAACAAAGAAACAGAATTTCCGGAGGATGAGGCCCAGAAATCAGGATTTTAAAAAGATTCCCAGGTGATTCTAATGTGAGCCAAGGTTGAGAACCACTGGTATAGTGGATTGAGATTTCTGGGATCAGACCACCTGGCTTTAAATCCTGGATTTATTACTTACCAGCTGTGTGACTTTGAATAAATTACTTAGTTTTTTTTAATGAATATAAGATTGGGAACTTCCTCATTTGTGGCAAGTGAGATAATACATGTAAAATATGGCACAGTTCCAGGTATAGAGTAAATGCTCAATAAATGTTAGTGGCTATTAAGTTGGAATTGATATTTTTAGTTATATTAACTCAAGTATGTTTGTTACTACGCATCATAGCCTCAGAATCATGTCATATAAAGTACACAGCAAAGGTATTCAGTGACCACTGCTGATTGACATGCTCAAATAGACCGTAAACTTTAGTCTTCTTTATAAACAGAGCAAGGTGCTTTTTAGTAGACATCTTTACTTCTTTCAACCATTAGTAATGAAATATACCATTTTGTCAAACATCAGGTATATATAGGGTGGGGCAAAAGTAAGTTTACAGATGTTTGTATGAAAAATAATGCAATGATTAATAAATAATAAGACAAGAATAAACTCTGTGTTTTGAGTACTCACAGGTATAAACTCACTTTGCCCCACTCTGTGAACAGTGTATAAAATTAGCATACATATTTATCTTATTGTGTGTTGACTATATTTCTTGGTTGAAAGTGTTTATATGCTTTTTGGGAAAAACAGGGGCAGTCGTTAGGTGCTTAGGAAATCCAAAATGTTTTTTTGTTTTGTTTTTTTTAAGAAGAAGACAGGGCAAACATAAATATGAAGTAAAGAAAATAATGAAATGATTGTCAAATAATTTGGGGGAATAATCTCACCCAATGTTTTATGAAACAATTTATGGAAATTGAGGAATGTGGAGAAGAAAATAATTTTATTAAGCATTTTAAAAATAATTTTATATTTATTAAGCATTTAATTCCAGTGGAAGTGTAGCATATACGTTACATTCAAAATCTCATTTCATCTAAGCAATAATACCATGAAGTAGCTATATTATTATTTCCATTTTTCATAGGAGAAAAATGTAACACAGAAAGTTTAAATCTATCATTCATGGAAATGAAGCCTGAGATCAATCTAATTCTAAAGCTTTTTTTCTTTTTTTTAAATTAAAAAAGTTTCTTTTATTGACTTTTTAGAAAGAGAAGAAAGGAGAGGGAGAGATAAACATCCATGTGGGAGGGAAACACTGATCGGCCGCCTCCTGCAAGTGCCTCCTGGGATAGAGCCTGCAACATTTTGGTCGCATGGGATGATGGTCAACCAACTGAGCCACACCAACCAGGACTAACCCTTCTTTTCTTATCCCCTTAACCTGGCTGTTAAATATTGAAATTTTGTGGCTGATCTGACTTTCTTTTATTTGCGTAAAACACTGCTCCTAAACCTCAGGTCAGACATATGAATTATTTAATAAATAAATAGAGTATGATTTGTTTTCAACTGAAACATATGATGATTGCCTTATATTAAGTGTTGATAGGACCACCCAGCAATCCAAAACTAATTACCTTAAAAGATGCTGTTTGAGTAAAGAAAATTTAAAAAATAAAAAAGCTCCTTCCCCAAGGTTTGGGGCCATATCTTATGCTTTTATTACTCTTACTTTTCAGAATTTGAAGTGACTGACCATGCCCTTTTTTTGTAGTCCTTCAGCCACTTAAGGAACACAGAGAAGTTTGAAATGTAGAGTTCACCTTGATGGATTCCTTCTCGTCCCTATTTACCATCCTCAGGTGTATCAGCTTTCAGGGACATCCTGACAACACTTCGGCCACACTGCTACTTTTCCTTTCAAGTCTTTGGTGGTCTTCATTTTCTTCCAGTTCAGTCATCCACTGACCCCAGTCCCTTTACACACCACTGCTCAGAACAAACCATCAGCAGCATTTTACTTAAGGGATATTTTCACACTGTAAAATATTATTGCTCTAAAAATGAAGGGGTCAAGTCTTTTGCATTCTCACACTACTCTTTATTTTAAAAAAACTGAAAGACTTACAGAATGCTTTTACTTTCCATTTCAAGATTTGGTCTCTGAAAGACAAAGCTAGTGGTTACATTTAGTAATTCTATTTCATTTAATTCAATAAATATTTACCGCATGCTCCTATAATAAGAGAGGCACCTTGCTAGTAAGTACTAGAACAAGTGGAAGGGAAAGACAAAAATGACTTTCAAGAAAAATCTATCTTCAATTTGAGGAAATAAAATATGCCAGGCATAAATAAAGTGAATGATGTGTTATTAGATTATGATATTAGGAGAGTAGTCTAAAGTAGTCAAATTAATAAAGCTGTTACAAATAATTTGAAAAGGTTTAATATAGGTGAAAAATAAAGCATTAGAGGAGATTTAAGAAAGGATATGTAATTCTCAACCCCCTTGGTTCAAGATTTCATCATGGAGGTTGCATTTGCACTAGATATTGATGCAGGTAGAAAAGAGAAGTCAAGGAAATGGCATCCCCAAGTTCAGAGGAAAAGAGCCAGACTTTACATTAAGGGGTCCCTATCCATGGTTAGAATTATTTAGGTTGGCAACAAAATGAGTTTCTTATGTTGGACTAAAACCAGGTAACACTGGAAAATAAGACTGGAGCTAGGTTAGATAAAATACTGATAATCAGAATATGAAATTTGAATTTAAATTTATTTGGTAGGCAATTAAAAAATAAAACAAAGAGTATTTTGCAAAGGCCAATTGTGTGAACAAAAAGTTTCTTCTTTGACTACTAGACAGGAGTTATCTTCACAATTGATTCTAGCTGGAAGACTTGTAGACAAGAAAAACAATTTTAGGAAAAAAGAGTCATATAGGAATGAATGGATGAGGTAAGATGTGAGGTCATAGCAGTGGAAATGGAGAGGCAGCAATAGATGCAGGTGAGATTTTGAAAAAAATAGGGTCTAGGAATAAAAATGATAACACTTGAGTGGCATTTACTATGTACTGGGTTCTATTTTAAATTACTTATATTTATTATTTAATGTAACTTCCAAACAATTCTGAGAGGTAGATGCTAATATTATCTACATTTGCACAAGAGGAAACTGAGGCAGCCTTTAGCTAAGTAGATTGTCCTAGGTCCAATAACTAGGAAATGGTAGGGCTGGGGGGATTGGCCAAGCTCCATATCGCTGCAGTTAACCACTGTACATCATTTTTCTCAAAAAAACAACACACAACAGATTTCCAGCTTGATTGAACCAGAAAATGACCTTACCAAGAGATCATTGG